ATCCAAACATCTTCATGTGCTTCATCAATGACTTTACTCCATTATAAACTCAGAGGTGGGAGTGTTTGCTGATGACTTCTCATTTGTGATTCCTCAAATGCTGAATCAGTGTGTGTCCACATGCAGTTTGACCTGGAAATTATTCAGGCTTGGACTGGTAAACGGCAAGTAACATTCATGCCACATAGGTGCCAGGAGATATCCCTCCACAACACAAGAATCCAGACATAGTCCCTTGATATTCAGTAGTATTGACGTTGCCAAATTCCCTACTTCCAACATCCTGAACGTTCAATATGACCAGAAACTGAACTGGACCGGCCACTTTTTGCTGCAGCTACAAGAGTAGGTCAGAGGCAAGGGATTCTTCTTTGGGTCTTTCCATCATCTACACTATCGGTCTTCCCATCATCTACACTATCGGTCTTCCCATCGTCCACAAAACAGAAGTAGAATGTAATGGAACGGTCTCCACTTGCCTCAATGAGTGCAACTCCAGCAACACTCAAGAAGCTCAACACCATCCATGACAAAACAGTTTGTTGCTTGCTTGGCTCCATGTCCACTACCTAAAATATTCTTCCACCACTATAACATTGTGTCATCTATGAAATGCACTGCAGCCGCTCCCCAAGGCTGCTTTGGCAGCATCATCCAACTGCACAACATCCACCATCTAGAAGGGCAAGATTAGCAGATGGATGTGAACACCACCACCTGCAAATCCTTTATCAGTGAGCTTTTGCTGCTACTGGGTTAAATCCTGTAACTCCTTTCCTAACAGCACAGTGGGTGTGTCTACACAGAATAACCACAGTGCTGCAGGAAAGACAGCCTTGGAGAAAACAATTAGGGATGGATAACAAAAATGTTTCCAGTGACACCCACATCCCATGAAAGAAGTAAAAAAAATGCTACCAGTTTGCTGCCAGAAACCCAAAATGCAAAGCATAGATTATTATTTATTTTGTACCATAGCCAAAAGTTACAGCTAACACCATTAAGTCATTAAATTCTAATACATTTTATGATGCCTTTTCTATTCACAGGAAAATAAAGTATGGCTCAAAGATGTTGAGGAAACGGGTTTCAATTATTGGGGCATTGACATCAGTACTGGGGAGAAAGCAAGTTGTATTTGTTGCAAGGTCTCACTTGAGCTGTCATGGAGCAGTGTCCCAGCAAATTGTGTAATTAAGCTGTAGAAAGGGCACAAAATTAACGGTGGGGATGCTTGGTATATGGCGTCCTATGAAGGGATGGCTTTGTGCGTGAGAAATTGTCTCTCACAAACCCGATTGAGTTTTTTGAGGATGTGACCAAGAAGATAGATGAGGGCAGAGCTATAGATATGGTCTACATGGACTTTAGCAAGGCCGTTGACAAGGTTCCGTGTGGTAGACTGGTTAATAAAGTCAGATAACATAGGAATCAGGGAGAACTTGCCAATTTGGTACAAAATTGGCTTGATGGTAACAGACAGAAGGTGGTGATGAAGGGTTGTTTTTCAAAATGGAGGCCTGTGACCAGCAGTGTTTCGCAGGGACTGGTGCAGGGTCCACTGTTGTTTGCTATTTATGTGAACAATTTGGATGAGAATAAAGGAAGCATGGTTAGTAAGTTTGTGGATGATACCAAAATTGGTGGTAGAGTCAACAGTGAATAAAGTTATCTAAGATTACAAAGGGATCTTCATAAACTGGGTCAATGGGCTAAGGAGTGGTAGATGGAGTTTAATTTAGATAAATGATAGGTGTTGCATTTTGGTAAGATGAACAAGGGCAGGACTTACACAGTTAATGGTAGGGTCCTGGAAGTGTTGTCGAGAGAGACCTAGGGGTTCAGCTGAATAGTTCCTTGAAAGTTGCATCACAGTAAGACAAGATGGTAAAAAAGGCATTTGGCACGCTTGCCTTCATTGCTCAGACCATTGTGGATAAGAGTTGAGACATCATATTGGTGGTTGTAGAGGATGTTGGTATGGCCACTTTTGGAGTACTGTGAACAGTTCTGGTTCCCCTGCTAGAAGAAGGACATTATTAAATTGGAAAGGGTGCAGAAGAGATTGACAAGGATATTACCGTGACTGGAGAGATTGAGTTATGAGGAGAGGCTGGGTAGGCTGGGACTACTGGAGCACAGAAATTTGGCGGGGGGTGACCTTGTAGAGGTTTATAAAAACTTGACGGGCATAGAAAGGTGAATAGCAAAGATTTTTTCCCAATGGTAGGGGAGTTCAGAACTAGGGTATATAATTTTAAAAAGAGAGGAGAAAGATTTAAAAAGGGCCTGAGGGGCAACATTTTCACACAGAGAGTGGTATGTATGTGGAATGAAATGCCAGAGGAAGTGGTAGATGTAGGTAGAGTTATAAAATTTAAGACATTTGGACAGATACATGGGAAAGGTTTAGAGGGATACGGGCCAAATGCAGACGAATGGGACTAGTTCAGTTTGGTAAACCTGGTTAGATGAGTTGGACTGAAGGGTCTGTTTCCATGGTGTATAACTCTGTGACTGTATAAGATTAGTGAGTTCTGTTAATCACTGATGGAATCAGTACAACAGTTAGGAATTACCTAGCCTCAGACAAGTCGAGATATAGAACCAGTATGCATGAAGAGAAGAAATAGCAAGGGAAAGAAGTCTCTAGCGAGATCATTTTATTGCACCCCCTCCCCCAACTCTACGCTGTAGAACAGAGTATTTATCAAGGGTTTGGGTACTGATAAGGAATCAAGAGCAAAATCATGGGTGATTTTAAATTTCATATATAATGGACAAATCAAATTGCCACAGGTAGCCTTGAGGATGAATTCATAGAGTGTATTTGAGACAGTTTCTCAGAACAATACATTCCGGAACCAACCAGGGAACAAGCAGTTTTAGACCTGGTAATGTATAATGAGATCAAGGCAAAGATCCTCTAGGTTATCGTGATCATAACATTATATGATGTCATAATCAGTTTGTGGATGAGAAGTCCAAGTCTAAAATTAGTCTGCAAAACTTAAATAAAGGCACAGAAGTATGAAATTAGCAACAGTGGACTGGGAAATTAAGTGAAAAGGTAAGACCATAGAGAAGCAATGGCGTACACATAAGATGTTTCAACAAAGTTATATTGAATTGCAAAGAAAGACTCACTAAGAAGGATGCACCATCTATGGCTAAGTGAGAAAGTTAATGGTAGTATCAAATTAATTAAACAGCACATAATGTTACTAAGATTAGCAGTCGGCTAGAAGATTGGGCAAATTCTAGAAACTAGCAAAAGCTGACTTAAAAAAATAAGGAGTCAAAAATCAAAATATAAACTAGCAAGAACTATTAGACAGTAAGAGCTTCTACAAGTTATAAAAAGGACATTAGCTAAACAAGTATTGAATTCTTAGGTGTTGAGGTTGTGAAATAAATAATGGCAAATGAGGAAATGCCAGAAATGTCAAACTAATATGATGTACATCTTTTCATATGATGAAATTATTGTGAGGACATAAAACATTTGCAAGGGTACATAGGGTAAGTAAGTAGGCCAAAATCTGTTAGATGGAATATAACATGGAAAATTTTGATGGGAAGAATGGAAAAGGAGAATATGTTTTAAATGGAGAGACGTCTCAAGATCCTGCAGGACAGAGGGATCTGAGTTTCCTTATATGTGAATCACAAAACGGTGTGAACACGGAGTTGTAGCAATTAATGAAGAAAATAACTGAATTGTTGATATTTGTTACAGTGGGGTGAGGGAAACAAATGGCATTTAGGAATGGGGAAGATGTACTAAATCTGTCCAGGGCATTGGTGAGACTTAATTGAAATTACTCCTGAATGTTTCTGGTCTCCACACTTAAGATGGGATACAGTTGCATTGGACTCAGTTTAAAGAAGTTGCACCAAATTGATTCCTGGACTGAAATATTGTCTTGTGAAGAAATGTTGAACAAGTTGGGCCTATGCATATTGGAGTTTACAACGTTGAAGGGTGATTTATTGAAACATATGGCTCAGTGGTCAGCATTGCTGCCTCACAGCACCAGTAATCCGGCTTTGAGTCCAGCCTCGGGTCTCCCCGTGTCTGCGTGGGTTTCCTCTGGGTGCTCCGGTTTCCTCCCACAGTACAAAGATGTGCAAGTTAGGTGGATTGGCCATGCTAAATTGCCCATAGTTTTCAGGGATGTTTAGATTAGGTGGATTATAGGGGGAACGGGAATGGGTGGGATGCTCTGAGGTTCGGTGTGGACTTGTTGGGCCGAAGGGCTTGTTTCCACACTATAGGGATTCTATGATATAAGGTTTTGAGGGGGCTTGACAATGTAGATGCTGAAAGAATGTTTCTCGTCAAGAGATAGTCCAGAACAAGGGGTCACAGTTTCAAAATAAGGCGTCTGTCATTTAAAGATCGAAATGAGGAGAAATATCGGCTCCTGAGAGTCTGTTAATCTTTAGAATGTTTGTCTGAGAAAGCAGTGGAGGCTGGGTCATTCAATATTTCCAAGGCTGAGTTGGACAAATTTTTGACCTACAAAGGAACCGAGGCTTATTTGGGGTGGGGGCAGGCAGAAATGTGGAGTTAAGGCCACAAATCAGATCAGCCCTGGTAGTATTGAATAACTAAGCAGACTAGGGGAACCTAATAGCTGATATTGAGCTTTTTTAAAAAAGTTTTAAGTAATTTTAGGAAACCATGAGATCCTGCAAGAGAATAAAAAGCAAGACACCCATTATATTTGTATGTCATGTGTAAGAAATATCTGTTGACATTTATAATCAATGCATTTGCTGATTAGAAATTTTCTGAGAGCTGATCCTGCTTTGCCAGAAGGGCAGGGGAAATGATAAACATGGCTTTTTGCAAAGCATTGGAGACATTACTGCAGTGGAGCAAAACTATCTGAATAATTGAGCATCTGCAGGAGTAATGTGAAAGTCTCAGCTTTGTATTTGATACACTGAAAATGCGCATTACCCATTAACAGGATTTTATTCTTTTTCCACAGATTCAAGGCCTTTGCCTGATGTAGCTTTGACAGGAAAATGTACACGTGAATGTGATGAGTTTGGCCACTCTGACTCCTGTTGGATGCCAGTGCGCACCTCACCAGAGAGAAGAAAAAAGAACCCACCCAAGCTTTCTACATTCATGCCTGTCGCAGATCGAGGCAGTCAAGAGAAGCTCGCCAATGGTGCCCCTCAGATTATAGGTGATCGCAATCGAAACCTTCTCAACAAGAGGCTGACTTCATCATACGAGAACTTCAACAATGCTAGTTATGCTAAAAATGAGGAAGGCAATCCTGAAGATATACCCCTGACACAAACAGCAGATTTCAAGCCATCTTCTGTTTCTCAACTCACGAGAAGAGAAGTCTACCTGTGAAAAGTCTCAGCATGATATTTCAAAAGGCAACACATTAGATATATAAATCAAAAAGAATTAAAACATTGTGCAGGATATCCCATAAAGGGGGCTACCAAAGAGATATATTAATGTCTGCTGTTTCTGATTCCACATCTGGCACTTGACCATGAACTGCTTGACAGTTCTGTTAAATTATAGAAATCATTCTGACTCGCCAATTACATGCATGCTGTATCCTGAACCTTACCCCCACCCTACCCAAAACCTTGAAGACATACACACACACACACACACACACACACAATTTTCTACTTTAAAAAATAGCAAGTGTATTTACTAGGGGAAAATGTAGTTAAAAGAGCACAGGGGTAGTACAGTATTAAGTATCTTATATAATGTAACTGTCTCATTGTTTGAAGCATGATTTCAACTTCCAGAGTATGGATTGCAATGTGTTTTGTGACATTTTCACTTGGAAACTAATGCTTGGTTTGGATGATGGGTCAATGTAGAATTTTGAAAGTGTATTACACTCAGAATACATTCAATTGGGGATGTTCCTGTTAACATTTACTTGAACTACTGCAATTTCAGGCAGGCTGATGTATCTATTTAAACGACTTCAGTTCTGGCATCTTACAAGCCTTTTGGAGACATTGATGAAACAAGGCTAACCAAGGTTGGAGACACAAAATGTACATTTTTATTCCTGTTGCAAGACTTTGATAAAATTCATAAACCTGGCTAGAAGCCATGATAACACTGTACCAAGCTGAATTTTTTTTTTAAATCTGCAATGGTTGGCTTCACTAAGTAATAACAAGACCTCTATCATCTACAACCCCATTACATTATTGGAGTTGACAAGATTAAGGACAAAAATAACAATCACAGGGAGAGTTCCTGTTTTGCGGGCCATGTAGAAGAAGCAGTTGATATATTAGGAGCATCGCTTTGTGAACTTAAACACAGACACAACCATGATATAAAACATGAAGCCACTGCTATATGAACACGAGTCAAAGGCCCAAACAACACCCTGGAGAAAACTTGCTGTAGGATGTTGCTCTAGGGTTCTACTGTGAAAGCCAACACTATTCCAGTCCCAGGTAAAACTGTCAATTGATTCACGTAAAAGAAAGCACTTCAATGCTGGTTGTAGATTGAAAACTGCTGTTGCACAAGAAACAAGATGGTTTAAATTCGTGTTTGAATGGATGATTCTTTACTTTTGTGACAAGTTGTCCAACATAACAGCCTAGAAATCCCGTTTTACTGTTATATTAGTCTGGGATGTTTAAAAACTAATTTGCTCAGGAAAACAGTAATGTTGGAAAACTCTTCTGTTTTTCATATCTGATAAGACATGCTAGGCGAACGTCAGTAAACTGCATGTTATTGCTTTAGCAAAAGTGTAGCATTATCAAGTTCATGACCACCCTAAAACAGGACTACAGCACATTGTTGTGGTTGGTATAGTTTAATCAGTTGACTTAAATGTTTAGTGGTGTTAATTGCAATGGAGTTTTACCAACCAGAAATGCAGCTTTGACTAGCTAAAAATCAAGACTGTTACATGCAATATGTACTTTTGCCAGAGTTTTGTTCTTTGGGCTACAAGAGAATGAGTTGCAGAGTTGTACAGAATTGCTTAAAATATATTTCAGGGCACTGGAAGTGTTGAAGGATCTTCACAGTTAATTACAGTGAAGTATCAAAAGATCAATTATTCTCTGAGATGCACCAAACAAATATGGACAAATTCTGCTCAATCACAAAATATCATTATTTAAAGAGAAACAATAATATACAGTTCAAAGGGATGAACTACAAAGTGGCATGCAAGGTGAAACTTGATGTTGCTTTGGTAAACTTTGGACAAGATACAGCTTTTGGTAGAAAATGCTTTTCATAATATGCATAGAGTTATTTAAAGTTGTTGCAGCTTAAATATTGGTCAATTATTCAATAAATACTTGTTGCACCCTTTGTTTACCTGGTGCCTGCTGTCTTTCACTGTTTTACTGCATCCTTTCCATGATGTTTAAGCCATTAATTGGAATATTTCTTATATTACTTGGCACATGAATGATCTGATATAATTCTACGTATTCATGGTGAAAGCAGTGTTAAACAGTGGACAGCTGTGGTGTAAATACAATACGAGGTCGGCTATTTGATTATAATTAAAGATGTTTGTATTCAATGTTCAAATTTCTATTCAATAGTGAGATACAAAGCTGCTCCTAGCGTGCTGCTGTGTAGATACAGTAAGTACTTGTTGTTAATGGATGTTCTCATAACTTGCAAATATATACATAAGTATTTTTATTGCACGTTAAAAAAAACATTCACTAAATGCAAAGAAAGTTTCTTTAATGATAACAACTGTAGCATTTTGTTTTCTTAACTGCAAGTATGAAGGTAACCAACTCAGTTAGATTGTGACCGTTCTATAGTACTTAGCTTCATATTCCCAGAAATGCAAGTCACCCAGATTGATTGGATTAATTTAGTTATGCAACTTAGTCTTTCATTGCACACGGTATACATAATGAGCACCATTCACAAAGAACAGAAGCCCAACCATAATAATTGCACATATATTTGACATGAAATTTGAACATGTGCAAAGTATTCGGGACTTATTTTGATTTAAGCATTTGCATCAAGCAAGAGCACCCAGATTGAAACACTATTTTCAAACTCCTTTGGTGTCTTGATGGGGCATTTTGTTAGATTATGCCTTTCTTTATGAGATGGTTTAAGTATTGGCGTTATCTGATACTACACATGAGCATACTCCTACAAACAGAGTGAATGCAATCTATGAAACTGTGCCTTTTATATCTAGAGGTATAAATAACATTTGATTTGATGAGGGGAGAGAGGGGCAATAATGTTGAAATTTTCTGCAAAGTAGATTTGACAAGAGGAGCGCATTGGCTTTTCATACATATAAAAATGTGGTGTAAAATTTAATGTTTTCTATTATCAGATACAAGGCCATACAAAAAGTCAGTATGCACATGATGAAAATTTGGTGTGATGATTTTGTTTTCTTCTGGATATAGTGTTAATTTAATGCTTAAATCAAAAACAGATGTACATTTTAGTTGGGTAATTGCCTTTTCAAACCTGTGAATTGTCAGTATTAACTTAAAAAATGTGTTGACTTTGATTAAAATGTTGTATGTTTACACACAAAATATCCTCATTGCAAATGCGTTTTTATTTATACACAAATCCACATAATCATAGTAGAGTTTCTAGCATTTATTACTAAGCAATGGCCTCTGCCCATACCGACTTACACTGAATCAAAGAAAGCCCACATTTGGTAAGTGCATCTGATGTAAGTAGTTGAAGCATCAATGAGTTCACAGTTTTTACAAAAATATATAAATTGTTCTGGCCAAAATGTTTTGTGGTCTGACATAAATCTGAGTGTCTGAGAAGGAACAATTTTATTTTCCACGATGGGGATAAAAAGCTGATTGAAAGAGTACTGCGGGAAATGCAACAACACTATTCATGCAGTTTTAGGTGGCACCAAGGAATACAGATCGGATTTAATATTCACAAACATTTAGTACAATTTCCCAAAAGAACTTTCATGAAATAAGAATTGCCAGTGCCATTATATATATTTTTAAATACAGCTGTGTTACTTAACCTGTTCCCAAGTACCTAATTTAATAAGAACAATACACACCATCTTGGCAAAGAAATGTAAACAGTATAATTCTAATCAAAAATGGCTCATTTTATTATAGCAAAAATGATTTATACAGGTAATTTTCTAATTAAAAACAAAGCAGTCATATGGTGAAATATATTCAGTGGACTCTGCTGTTTAAAAATCTCAAATACTCTTCTAATTTAAAGCAATACATTACCTTAGGCAATACTTAAAGAACTATCATTTTGCATGCCTTCAGTATGCTTCCAGTCAGCATTCCATGAGATGAAAGCAATTCAATTCTATGCTTTTCTGATCTGCTTGTAATAATAATCATGAACTATTGTGCTGTGACTTGGGTGTTGATAGCAAAGTGGAGAACAATTTATCATCATTTACTTACTATGAGTCACTAAGCAAGTAGCTGTGTTGAACATGACTAAATATATTGAACATCCATCCACTTCTGTTTATAAAATAACAAACATGATTTAATCATCACTGTACAGTTTGCTATAAATAAAATAATTGTTTTTTGTTATCTGCATATTAACTCATAACATGATGGAATTTTCTTGTAACATTTTCATTTCTATGCATTCTGAGGCAAGTTGTTGTGAACTTTTCCTTTCTTCCTCCCACTCAGCCACCTTTTGTGTATATACATACACAGCTTTTAGTACTGGTTGTAGCAGCTTTGTAATATGACATTAATTGGAGCAAATTAAGTTTTCCAAGTCGGTTTTATTTTTAAAAAGAATATGATGTTATGCAGGAGAAATTCTGACAGTTCTTGTTACTACCTTGCTCCTCCTCCATTTCCATTATATTTATATTGTTGATTTATGATACACTTTGAACATTGTTAATGTAGTAAATAATTTGATGTCACGCTGCAATCTGCAGCAGAAAAGCAGGATCTGAAAGGTTAAAGCTAAGTTTTGTGCTGCAGTTAAATTCTGTCTCATTTCTCTGGTGCTTTGCAATAAAAAAAAGTGAATCTAATTTTGTGACTGCATTTTAGTTTGTGCAACCCTTTTCTGTTTTTTCTGCTTACCCGGTTTTGAGGAAAAGCTGCAATAGGGACTGAGCCCAACAACCTATTTTTTTTTAAAGACTCACAAATAAAAACATTCTATTACTGTTAAGCTGCAGAATATCTCTAAAGACAATGTATTTGTTCAATCAAGATTATTTTTGTTCATTCACAAAACATTCAATAGGTGACTTCTATGCAGAAATTCATTAATAATTTGTTGTCATTTGAAGGTGAGGATATCTTCCAATGAAACTAACTACCCAATCTCTCAGTAGGACCCCATTTTTTCTATTTGGCACCTTAAGAAAAAATAACAGCCCAAACGTAACTCAATTAATAAAAATCAGGGCTTATTTTGATATGCACATCATTAAAAAAAATCACTAAAAATCATTTGGTCGAAATAAAAGTCACATTTGTACTTGTTTCAGTGCAAAGGTTGCATTCTCTCATTGGAGATAATATTCAGCCTTATGGTTTAAAAAAGGTAACAGAAAATCAGCAGCTCTTTTTATATCTCCTGGTTTGTATTTCTACTGAAGTCACCAACAACACAGGACTACCAACATGCATAGCAGCAGAAGCAGTAAGTGATAGGTAGTGCTAAGCAATTCTACAACCAACAGACAAGATCCCCAGTCTTACCACATCGAATCATCAATAGTTGTGGGCAATTAACCAACTCACTGGGAAAAGAAGACAGATATCACCATTTTCAATGCTGGGCAGCCTGGCACATCAGTGCAAAAGATCAAGCTGAATATTTTGCAACAAGCTTCCGCCAGCAAAGCTGAGTGGATAATCTTTCTTTACATTTTCTAGAGGCCCCTAGTATTGCTGATGTCAGTGTTCAGCCAGTTCGGTTCACTCTGTTGTATATTGAGACACAACTGAAGGCACTGTATACTGTAAAGACTATGCGTCCCAACAACATTCTGACAACAGTACTGAAGATATGTACTGGAGCATTTTCTGCCTCCCTTGCCAAGCTATTCGAGTACAACTACAACATGGACATCTACCCAGCAATGAAGAAAACTGCCTATGTATGTGCTGCCTACAAAAAGTAAGATAAATCCAACCGGCCAATTACCACCTTATCAGTTTACTCTTAATTATCAATAAGGTGATCGCAGGGGACACCAATAGTGCTATGAAGCAAATGCTTAGCAATAAACTGCTCACTGATGCTCAGTTTGGGTTCCGCCAGGGCACTCAACTCCTGGCTTCACTGCCGCCTTGATTCAAACATGGACAAAAGAGCTGAATTTCAGAGTTAAGTGAGAGTGACTCCCTTGACATCAAGACCACATTTGGTCAAATGTGGCAGCAAGGAGCACTAGCAAAACAAGTCAATGAGAATCGAGGCAATTCTCCACGGGTTGGATTCACGTCTAGCAGAAATGAATATGGTTGTGGTTGATGGAGGTCAGTCACCTTAGCTCCAGGACATCTCTACAAGAGTTCCTCAGTGTAGTGTCCTCGGCCCAACCATCTTCAGCTGCTTAATCAATGACCTTCCCTCCATCATAAGGTCAAAAGTGAAGATGTTTGGTGATGATTACACAATGTTCAGCACCAATCAGATTCCTCGTATATTGAAGCAGTCTATGTCTATAACCAGCTTTGGATTTACACGTGGCAAGTTTCATTCATTCCATACAAGTGCCAGGCCATCTCTAATGTGAGAGGATCCACTCATTCCACTTGACAGTCATTGGTATTAGCATCATTGACTCCCCCAACATAACACCCTTGGCAGTTTCCATTATCCAAGAACTGAATTGGACTTGCCACATAAACACAATGGCTAAAAAAGCAGATCAGAAACTAGGAATACTATGGCGAGTAACTTACTTCCTGACTTTCCAAAGCCTGTCCAACATCTACAAGGCATAAGTCAGTGTGAAGGAATGCTCCCCACTTGCCTCAATGGATGCAGCTCCAACAACACTCAATAATCTTGACACCATCCAGATCAAAGCAGTCTACTTGATTGGCACCACATCCACAAATATTCACTACCCCCACACTGAGTCTCAGTTCCAGTATTCTGTACTATCTACATGATTAACTTCAGAAATTGACCAAAGATCCTTAGACAGTGTCTTCCAAACCCATGACCCTTACCATCTATGTGGACAAGTGCAGCAGATTGATGGTAACATCACCACCTGCAAGTACCTCTCCAAGCCACTCACCATACTGACTCTGAGCTAAATCACCATTTGTCACTGGGTCAAAATCCTGGAACTCCAACCTAATAACATTGTGATGTCTAACTGAACTGAATGGACTGCAGCAGTTCAAAGATGCAGCTCACCACCACCTTCTCAATGGTAACTAGGAATGGGACATAAATGCCAGACCAACCAGTGACATCCACATCCCATGAATGAATAAAACAATAAAAGTCAGGAGAGATATACAATGGGCTGTTGATTTGCTTTTACCCATACTGCATTGTGGTTCAAATTTAGAATTGCCCAGCATCTATGTTGGGTCAATAATACCATTAGCTGCACGTGAGCATCAGGAAACCATCAAACTAGCAGCCTACAACTTCTGTGCACTTTGCCAGTGCAACACAGAAATACATGCATTGATTCCATGCAAGGTTTATTTATGAGATATTAATGAATGGGAGTTTCTCACGATAGTGCTATAAGCCAAGCAATAGTAAGAGCATTTGCACTAATGTGAAATTGATGCTGCAGAAGCAGCCTATTTCCTTCAGATGAGTTATTAGTATTCAAATGAACTTTCGATATTTTAAAGATAACACAGTGTGGAACTGGAGGAACACAGCAGGCCAGGCAGCATCAGAGGAGCAGGAAAGTTTACGTTTCGGGTCGGGACCCTTCTACAGAATCAGGGGAGGTGATTGGCCTAGTGGTATTATCACTGGACTGTTAATGCAGAGACCCAGATAATGTTCTGGGGACCTGGGTTCGTAATCCCACCATGGCAGATGGCAGAATTTGAATTCAATAAATATCTGGAATTAAGAGTCTAATGCTGACCGTGAATCAATTGTCAGGGGAAAAATACATCAGGTTCACTAATGCCCTTTAGGGAAGAAAACTGCTATCCTTACCTGGTCTGGCCTACATGTGACTCCAGCAATGTGGTTGACTCTTAACTGCCCCCTGGGCAACTAGGGATGGGGCAGCGATGCCCTCATCCAATGAATGAATAAAGGAGCATTGCCAGTTCTTACTATCTCTTTTGATATTTTAATCTTATTGATCAACAAATACTTTCTGTGAGCGCTGCTAATAACTTATCAGGGACTGTGTGTCTGAATTAGTGGTCACCTTTCTGACAGATATTCACTGGGGCATATCTCTCTATTTGCTTGTTTTTGAGGAGTATCAAAGGAGGCATCTTTCATTTCTAGACACTATTTTCAAAAATATCTTTGCATCATTACTTTTGTGCATGGCCATGCTCTCAGATCAGGACCTCTATGAGAGCACTTGCCTTTTAGAACTAGATCATACAGTTGTTTGGTAGCACAGAATGTGAGTATTGCTGAAAAAAGACACATTTTGATGAAGCTTTTCATCTTGCACTCATCAGAATAATTTGCAAATGTCAATTCAAGAGAAAGAACAACATTTGCACTGCATGAAAGAACTCTGCTGATTCATTAAGAGTGCTGAGTCCATTTGCAAACAGCACTATTAGGCAGTATAAGTCTTTTTTTTGCCTTGAATTGATATTCTTGCAAATTTTCCTGATGAGTACAAGACAAAATGTTCTGACAAATACATTTTTTTTTCAACTATATCTTAATGGAATTAGTATTGTAATCAATTTAAGCATTCATTTGGCGTTTGTGGTTGTGAAATTTGTAGTTCTTTCAATGTTTTCTTCACAACACTCATAATACTGGATGAGGAACGTAAACTTTGAAAGTTTATATATAATCCACAGCAGTTGTGACTAAATTCAAGAAATGCAGCCATCTCCAAGCTGTTACCAAAATAATAATCAAGATTGCTGCAAAAACCCAACTTGTTTATTACCTGCTTAAAGGGAAGAAGCATGGAAACTAGGAGCAGGAGTAGGCCATTTAGTGCTCCAAGGCTGCCCCAACATTCAATATGATCATGGCTGATGCTCTATCCCAATGCCATATACCCACATTCCTCGATGTCTCTTAAAATCTAAAAGAAAAAATCTACCCCTTTCTTGAATACATTTGGTGACTTGCCTCCACTGCCTTTAATGGTAAAAATTTCCATAGGTTCATAACCCTTTGAGTGAAGACATTTTTTCCTCATACCAGTCCTAAATTCTCTATCCCACATCCTATGTCGCCTGGTTCTAGACTCCCCATCTAGCAAAATCACCCTCTCTGCATCTCGTCTTTCCAGTGTTATTTGAATTACGTGCATTTCGATCAGATTCCCTCTCATTCTTCTAAACTTCAGCGAATATAGGCCCAGTCAAACCAATTTTGCTCGCCAAAGATCCTTAGATAGCACCTTCCAAATCTACAGCCACTTCCATCTAGAAGGATAAGGATAGCAGATGTATGAAAACGTCACTACTTGCAGGTTCCCATCCAAGGCACTCGCCATCCTGACTTGGAAATATATCACCGTTCCTTCAGTGTCGCTGGGTCAAAATCCTGGAATTCCCTCCTTAATGGCATTGTGGATCTATATACAGCACATGGACTTCAGCAGTTCAAGAAGGCAGCTCACCACCACCTTCTTAAGGGCAACTAAGAGCATGCAATAAATGCTGGCCAGCTAATGACACCCACATCCCACAAGGCAAGAAAAGGACAGTCCTGCCACCTCTGGTATCAGCCTAGTGAACCTTCACTGCACTCTCTCTGTGGCAAATATATCCTTTCTTAATAGAGAGACTA